AACTCTGGGCACACGTTAATAAATAAATACTGAAATGAAAGAAAGCCAAAAAAAAAAAAAAAATAAAAGGGATGGGTGAGCGAGCAGTGGAAATACCTGGACCTAGATGGGAGCACGCCATGAGCTGAAGTCTGTTACGTGAAAGGATGAAAGAAAGAGAATAAAATATCTAAATAAAAATTGAGAAATATGGGAGAAACAGTAACAAAGGTTGTCTAGAAATACATTCATGAGTGAATAAATAAATACATAAAAGGAAGTGACGGTAGCAGTGGTGGTAAAAGACTGTCATGGGTCAAGGATATGGTTAGTCCAATTCTCAAAATCACAGAACTATCAATAAATAATAAGTATCTAAATAAACACATAATGAGAATCTAAAGTGACAAAGCCAGGATGAGTAACGGGGAGGAGCCTGGCCCGCAGGCGCTCCTGATGAGCATGCTGGGAGGCTTGTAATTAATCCCATCTGGGCACCGAAGCTCCAGGAGAATGAAGGAAGCACTGAGAAAGGAGGAGATGTGGAAAGCTGTAACAAAAGAGAGAAAGGAATGATAAAAAGGGGGTGAGGACTGAATGGATAGATGGGTGGTTCTGCGGGGAGGGTGAGGCTAGGACTGCTCGTAAGGGACCCTCACAAACTGGGTCGTAACTGGTCAAAATCTGAGCACCCAGTTCCATTAATAGAGGAGTAGATACCTAATTAGAAGAAAGAAAACAGGCAGGAAGAATAGTAGGAAGGAAGGAAGGAATGAATGAGGCATGGCGCTGCAGGGGCCAGGGGTGGGTGTTGGCAAGTGGCATTAGGATTCATCAGTCCATGGCCACTGGGCTCCAAAGAATGAAAGGATGCAGCAAAGAAAGAGTGAGAGAGTGGGAGAGAAAAACAATGAGAATTGGAAAGAAGAAGAAAGGTAATATATTGAGAAACAAACAGATAAATACAGTATAAGAGAGAGCTGTTCTCGGAATGAGGAGGGGTGGGAGCATGAACCAGGCACACTGATTAATTCACATCTGTGCCTCTGAGATGGGTGACCACCCGCCCAACCAGGACACAGTTCAGAGCTGAACTATGGAATGGCGGACCTCAGAGGGGCCAGGGAGGGGAGGACCCATTGACTATAGATTATCATGTATCCAATTAGGTGCACCTGCCTGCCAGCTAGAAGTGTAAAAATAATTATTTAAATAGAAAGAAAGACTGAATGGATGCATGAATGCCTGAATGAAGGAATGAATGAGTAAAAAGAGTTGCATTGACTGACGAGGAGGGTGTTGCAGATGGGGTCAGGGTTCATCAGATCCCGGGTGCCTGACCTCCAAAAGAATGAAAGCCAGAAAGAAAGAAAGAAAGGTTGAAAGACTGGTAGGAAAAAACAATTAAGATGGGGAAAGACTCAAAATAAAAAAAGAGAAATAAAAAAGACAATAAATAATAGGTCAGACAAGTGTATGAGAGGGGACTGGTTTAGCACCGATAACCCATATTCATTAAAATCTGTGGCCTTGAAGTTTATAAATAATAAAAACAATACCATCAATAAAAGGCTGAAAGAGTAAATGCATGGGTTCCATGCAAACACAAGAAAAGGAGTTTGAAATGTTGAAGAAAAGACCGGGAGAAAGAAAGATGTAGGAAAAGAAATTAAAATAGACATGCAGAAGAAAAGGCCCACACTGGATAAGTATTTAAATATAATGAACAATATTATTCATTACATGCAATAAATAGTAAGAGCTAAGGTTCATCAGTAAAAAAACCACATACCTAAAAGAAAGAATAGAGGATGGCTGTGTGAATGAATGAATGAGAAACAGTGATTTTAATTAATTCTCTTCTGCACTTGAGGCTTGTAAGAATAAAAGAATGCAAAAAAGAGACAGCAAGGAGGGAGGGGACACAGAAAATGATGACAAGGTGGACATAAGCAATGAAAACATATTGAATGGATAAATAAATACATGAATATACGAGAGAGAGAGAGAGAGAGAGAGCGTGCGTGCTACTAGCAAAAGACGAGAAGGCATCATGAGCCAAGAATTATGATGAGCTCAAAACTGGGCTCTTGAGAGAGTTACATAAATCCTTAATCAATCACCAGTACACGAAATTAACGAACAAAAGGGGGCCCCGCATGGACTGGTGTTGAGGAGGCTCCGGCAACCACAGATTAGGGTTAATCCAGTTCTGTGCACCTGAGGTCCATAAATAAAAGAATAAATACTGAAATAAAAGGGTGACAGAAAGAATGAATGGACACATGAATGACTGAATTAGAAATGGAAATGCCTGGAACAGCCAGGAGGGGGTGGCTCATGGGATTGTCAGTCATCTCACTCCAGGCACCTGAGGTCCGTGCATGTGAAGTGCTGCAAGAAAAAAAGCATCACAGAGTTAGAGAAAGAGATGAAGAAAGGCAGGCTGAAGCTAAGTGAAAGAGAAAGGGGAAGAAACCCCACCCAATGAAGAGGTGACCAACCCCGGGCGTGTCTGAGAGCAGGAATTTAGGGTTGGGAATGAGGTCGTCGTGAATTGGAAAGATGGATGAGGTCATCCAGTCCATGGGCAAGGGCAAATGGAGAGAATAAAAAGAAGCAAAAACGGAAAAAGGAAAGATAACAAACACCCAAAGTGATGAATGGGTAGTTAACAGAGGTCTTCTGAACAGCGATTATCATTAGTTGACATACATACTCCTGAAATAGGTGAATACACCTTTCAAAGAGTAAATGAAAAACAGAAGAAATACCCGGCCCGGTAAGACAAGGCTGCATCTTCCAACACTGTAATAAAATATATGCAATTGAGGTCCATAAATAAAAGAATAAATCCTGATGTGTAAAAGGTGACTAAACGCAGGGAAGAAAGATTCTAACTGCAAATAAATAACGGGCCAGTGATGTTTATTGGGCACGTGGGGTTTTGGCTAATATAATGATTTCGCAGGAGACTAAAAAGTGAAAGAATACCCAAAATAAGAAAGAAAGGACAAATGAGTGAGTGAATGAATGAATGAGAGATGGAGCTGCACGGATGAAGGACGAGGATGTCGCATGTGCTAATCCGGATTCATCCTTCTGGGAGCCTGAGATGTAAGAATGAGAGAATGTAAAGAAGAATGAGAGAAAGGGAGAAAGATGAAATCTGGGAAGAAATAAAAAGAATACACGAAAGAATAAATAGGACTTGTGAAGGGAGATCTTCATGAACCAAGGGCTGTGATTGGTTTAAAGCTGAGCGGAAGTGCGTCAGTAAAGGAGTCAAATCTAAGCGAATGAATGGGTGAGTGACAGGAAGAAATGGATGGATGACTGGAAGGAAGAGAGGGAGAGAAGGAGGAGGGAAGGAGGAAGGAAGAAGGAAGATAAGAAGGAAGGAAGGAAGGAAGGAAGGAAGGAGGGCTGGATGATTGGAAGGAAGAGAGGGAAGCAGGGGTCTTCCTTCCTGTTTTGTGGTCCCTGTGTTCTAGCCAGCTGAAGGAAGTGGGTACCGGAAGGGACGGCTCTTGTCGTCTTGTGTGCTTGTTACACACACATTACCTGGCAGGGAGAAGCTGGTTTAGGAAGACCCTGGCCTTGGAGCGCCATTGTCACCTCCTGGCTGTTTGGACCGCATCACTTGCTCTCTCATGCTCAGTTTCCCCACCCACAAACCCGGAATGGCATCAGCTCCCCGCTTGGACTGGTCATGGGGCAAGTGGTCTCCTGCCTCTTGGCAGTGCCCTATCTATAGCCCTGGACAGGTGGACGAGCTCCGGCCCTGGGCTCTGCAGAAGGTTGCATGGACAAGGGGTGTTGGGCCAGGTGGGTGTCTTGGCCCCTCCCTGGGCGTGGGTCACCTGCAAGGGAGGCTTTTCCCGCCAGGGGGCAGCAGAGGGCAAGGGAGCAGGAGGCCCTGGGTGGCGGGTGGACCCCGCCCGCTGCGCTATCCTGGGTGTGGTGCCACTCCCATCCAGGGGCCTTGCGGGAGGAAGGCCGGCAGGCCAGAAAGTGGCTGGGAGGACCTGAGAAAGATGACCCAGGAGCCCAGTGACCCAGGCGCCCAGAGGCACATCACCGGAAACCTTGTTCCTGCAACTTTCTGAAATGTGCCCGGGCGCCCCCCACCCAGCCGGGTCTTCTACAGGGCGGCCGCCTGCCCTTCACAGCTTGGGGGGCCCGGGGCAGGGGCACCTCAGCCCGGGTTTGCAGAAGTGGTCTCGGGACCCAGCCCCCTTGACATGGCCTCCCCAGAGCCCGTTTCAAGGCCTCCTGTCTCCTCGCCTGTGTTCCGATGTACTGTGTATTTCGGTGGCAGGCGCGTCTGCCCGTGTGTTGAATTGTCCTCTCTCCTGACCTGCCCTCCCAGGGCTGCGGGCGGGTCTGGGGAGCGTTTGTACTGGCGTTTTGGACCCCACGGACTCCCTGGTTCTTCTGTCCAGTCTCTCTTCTCTGTAGTGGACAGGATTTGTGCAGTTGTGTGTGGTATGCCTGTGTTTGTCTGTAAAAACGAGGACCAAATTTCCACTCAACTTCTGAATTCCTGTGTGGGACATTAAATAAAAAACTGGATTCTTAGCAAGTGCCCTGAGCAGGAGGAGACAGTTTGGCTGGACCCAGGATCCGTGGCTGGGAGCACGTGGAGCCGAGGGAAGTTGGGTGGGGGTGGGGCTAACCTCTCTGGTGGGCAGGTGGGAGGTGGGGACACTATGTGGCCCGGGGGAAGGGGGGGTTGCACTTGGAGTGACGTTGGACCCTGGGTGGGAACAGGGAGTGTCGGGGAGGGTCGAGGGCACAGGCAGCAAGGTGAGGCAGTCGCTCTGGTCCCCACCAGCGATGCTGAAGGTGCATGCTGAGGGCGTGAAGTGGGGGCCACAGGCATCAAAGCTATAGGTTTGCAGACAGGATTCGAGGAGGGAGGGAGAGGGCATCAGGAGTGACTCCCATGCTTCTAGCGTGGGCCCCGAACCAGAAAACGGCATTTAGAAGATGGAGGACACGGAGTTCACGTGTCAGGAGCCGCCCTTCCGTGCCTCCAGCACCACGTGTCTGGGCCATGTGAGCAAGGTCACATGGGCCCGATGTGGTGCTGGGGGCGGCAGGGCTCTGCTCTTCTCTTCTTTTGGAGTCTGGGGGCTTCGCACTCTGCCTTGGCCAGCCGGAAGCCTGGGAGTGTACTTATTACCCGTGGGGATGCCTGCTAACACGGGGTCCCTGAAGAGCCCCCCCCCCAACCATCCCCGGTGTCACTGTGTGGACGAGGGTGGGGGCGGGAGGGGCCTGGGGCAGAAAGAGACTGGGAGGGTGTTTCCTAAGAACCCTCTGTGGTTGGTTACGAGGTCCCCTGGGGCTCAGGGAGACTTAACATTGGGTATATAATGGAGGGAGGCCCAGCCACATGTGCCTGGAGGAAATCTGGAGGAACAGGAGCAAACCAAGGGGGGCCTGCTCCCAACGTTTGAGGGGCTGTCGACGGGTCACAATGGCTGGAAATGGGCCAGTGGGAGAAGCTCCAGGGAGACCGACCGGTGCCCTGATGGGTGGGTGAGTTGGGGTCAGATGAGTTCTGTGTTCTTGCGAACACCGAGGGTATGAGGCTGTCCACTCAGGGCTCTCAGAGTCTTTGGCTCTGAAGAGTCTGGGATCTGACGTTCTAGGGGTCTCCATTTCTGGGATGCTGAGATTCAGGACAGAGTTCCTGATGGCCGCAGAAGCCAGGGTTAGAAGCCAGGCCCCCCCCAGTCTGGTTCTGCCTGTGCCCCACCCGCGAGGTCTGTGTAGGGGTCTCAGTGCTCCACTCTGCTCAGGGCCTATCTTAAGTGTGGGTTTCTTTCTTTTAATTTTTCAAAACAAGGACAAATTTTGTCTCTTGACTTTGACCTTTGCATGCACCCCAAGCACAAATCCTTCCCCTGGTGACACCAGGAGCTACAGATCTCCTTGGATTCCCCTTGACTCCAAACTCCCTCCTCTGGAAGGTTGGCCTCTGGACTGACCTTCCAGAGGGTGGAGGACAGAGCCTGGGTCTCTGGGGCCGATGGGCCAAGGGCCCCCTTGTTTTCTTAATGTAAATGGTGTGGATGGCACGTGCCCTAGAGCAGGAGGTCACCCATCACCCTGACATGTCACCCATCTTTCACCTCTTCAAATCCTTGTCTGTGGGCACACTGATTTTTCAGTGGACATCTATTTTTTGTGTGTGTGAGCATCCATTTCTTGAACCTAATTGCCATTCTGCACCACATGCACTTTTTTGCGTCTTGCCTTTTCCATTTACTGCTCTGTTGTCAGCGTTTTTCTTTCTTCCATAGTCATCATCTCACTGGCTGCGTTGTGTCCCATTGAGTGGCTCTGCCATCATTTGCAACACCAACCTGCTATTGTTATGCATAACTCATCTTTTTAATCTTATAAATTATGCCACAGCTAATGGCTTAGCACACCCACTTTTTCTCCTTCTTACAAATTACTTTCCTGCACCCAGAAGTGATCATTGCTTCACGGCGTGTCAGTTTCTCCTGCTAGACTGTGAGCCCCTTAAGGGCAAGGAGCCTGTTGAATTGATCTTTGTATCTCTAATGCCCAACATGTTGTAGATGTTAATAGATGCTTGCTGGGTGAGTGGATGGAAGGATGGATGAAGATGTGAGTGGGTCAGTGGTTGGCTGATGTGTGCGTGGATGGAAGGATGGATGAAGATGTGAGTGAGTGGGTCACTGGTTGGCTGATGGATGAGTGGATGGAAGGCTGGAAGGATGGATGAATAAATGGATTGGTGAATGAAGGAATGCATTAGGGTTGAGCTTCTTGAGTGAAAGGCCAGTGATTCCTGTATGAATATTGACTAATTTCAGAAGGCTTTCAGCATTTTACAATGTCCAGCAATGTATTAGCATTTTGTTAAGATATGGCTAGTTTATCTCTGTTAAAAAAGTATTTTTGTGTCATTTTAACTTGCATTGCTTTGATTACTAATGAAGGTTGAAATTTCTCACATATGTTTGTTAACAAATTGTATTCTATTTTCTGTGAACTGTTTGTCCAAGTCCATCGGGTCATGGCTTTCTGATGAGAGTGGTCAAGGATGGAATGGGTTTCCTTGGGATGTAGTGAGCCCTCCGTCATTGGAGGCATTCAAAGAGCAGGCCAGGCAGACACTTGATGAGGGTAGTTTTAAGGAGATTCAAATAGTGGGTGTGGCATTGGCTCAGACAGCCTTGCTTCTCCCTGGGAAGTGGGTTGGTGGGGATGACATCTTCCATTTGGCATACCAGTGACATTTTAAGGTCCCATCCCTTGGCGGGGCTTGTGTATTGATGATTTATAAACTCTAACCTCACCCTCTGTAACTCTTGTGGGACAGGAATATCTCTTTGGCCTGCCAAGGTCTGGACAGCCGTGCCCAGCGTCTTTTATAGTTAGCTAGTGGACTTCCCACCAGCCCTGTCACTCCCCACCCCCCCCCGACCCCCGCATTGCACCTTGAGGAAGCCAGAACCATGCGCCACCATTTATCACCTGTTAGGGCAACCAGGTGAGGCGATCTGCTGCCCTTTGTGTTCCCGGTATCCTGTGATGTGTGAGCAAATGTCCCCGAGGCCTCCGTGGTGGTCTTTGGGGTCTCATTGATTAATGGGACATGTTGGATCAGGACTGATGCAGAATCCTCCTTCGGTTTTTTTCAGCTGGGCCAATTAAATTCTGCGATCCCAGGAGCAGAATGCACCCCATGCTGTTCTCAGACTTCCCCTCATGCCCCACTCCAAAGCTGGCAGGGCACGAGGGTCATCATGGCCATTTGGGAGGGTGCATTACCCATGGAGGACTAGCCCCTGCTTTCTAGAACACCCTCCTCTCTCAGCAGAGGGCTGCTGCTTGCCGCTGACCCCTCTACTATAGCACTGAGTGCTGTTTGCCTGCATCAGAGTTACTCACCCACGTGTTGACCCCAGCATCGAAGCTTGGGAGGCCAGCAATGATGTCCAGCATTAATTTAAGCCATCCATCCATCCTTGCCTTTGGCCTCCATTTCTTGACCTGGTGCGTTTGGCCTCTCCTTTTCCTGAAAGCAAACCCTTCCATCTTGGGCGGGCTGTGTAGCGCCATGGGCTGTGGTCATGAGGCGAACGCCCTTATTTGTAGCTTTCTCCTCCGGGGTCACTGCTCTGAGCACGTCCCAGCTGGATCTCATCTGCCACCGTCACCCACATAGCTTCCTCCCCATGGCGCTTTCCCATGCATCACGCACCCCAACGGATCCAGGCCAGGGTCCGAGAGCAACCCCCCCACCCGTGAGCGGAGATGTCCCCCCAGGCCACCCTGCCTGGTGCATGGTCCCTGCCATGAGCTTTGCCTTCGGCCTGTCCGCTTCCTCCACCAGATGGCAGTGGTTGTAACTCATCCGTTCACCCCTTCATCCCTTCATTCGTTCACTCACAGTCAACATTTCTCGAAATCAACTAGTGCTATCCTAGAGCTGGCTCACAAGGACTCGTTCCGACATCTCCTTTTCAAAGAAAAGATGAGCATGTTTGCAAGCGGCCATGTTTGTGTGTCAGGAACAAGGCAAGACCCTTGATTCAACTGCAACTTCTAGATGCGAATTCTGTTCCAAGTTTGATTGCCCTCTCTCACTTTGTTCCTTAGAAAACTAGGTTGATTAGTAATCAGCAAACTGTGTTCCTGGGTGCTCAGAAATCATAGCCCATATCCTCAAGAGGCCAGAATGAGAGCTGGGAGGTATGAGATGACAGCGGATTCTGGCCGAGAGCAGGCTTTCAAGTCGTTAGAACGCCCTGATCTTGCTTGGAGGCGGTCTTAGAGCCATTCCTGTCCCTTTCGAGATTAGTTAATGCTGGGCTCTACTTAGAGAAAATTGGGGGAGATGATTGCCCTTGTGGATGACAAAGATCATGCCTGGTGTGGGGGTCTGCACAGAATAATCCACTGACAGACCGTGGTGTTCGAGGCGCATGGCACTTTGTAACCTCTGGAGGCAGCCCTGAGCATCCATGTGGGTCCCGGGCCAGGCAGGGCCCTCGTTTAGCTCACTGCTGCCTGCGTGGGACAGGGCGTAGTCTTGGGGGCTCCACATTTTATTCATCACACTGGAGAGTGAGTGTGGTGGATAAAGTCAGGACCCTGGAGTTGGACAAACGTGTGTGGTTTGAACTTGCGGCGACAGCTTGAGTCTGTCTTGTGGGGGGACCATAGCACCCACCTCGCAGGGCTGTTGTGAGGATCATGTAACCAGGATTTTGAACTGTGATGTTGGAAAGGCGGGCGCGTGCCCCTGGGGGAGTGCTGGGGGCAGGATGAAAGGCCAGGAGGGGCAGCCTGATTTGGGCAGGTTGGTGGGAAATCATTTTGCCAAACGTGCAGGGGGATCTTGGGGGACAGAATGCTAAATTTGTATGACAGTGTAAGGTTAGAGAGGAGTAATTTTGGCATGAACCTTCATGCTGGGGCATGAGTTCTCTTTGGGCAGCGCCCCTGGACCCCCTGGGGTACGCGTTCATGATCACCTTTGTGAAAGGTTGGAGGCACCTGGGTCTGGCCTGTAGGCAGCACTTAGGCACGTCCCTCCACAAGAGATACCCCCTAGCAGTGTCTTCCCCCCAAATCTTAGGCACCAGTCATCAAAGGCACTGCACAGCCCCTCCCCAACTAACAACATCGGGGCTCTGATGCCTGCAGCCTGGGTGCCTGACACAGTCCCAGGCCAGTGGCAGGGCTTGCCTTCCACTTTTGTTGAATGGATAGACTTGTGGATGGTCAAATAATGAAACTGTAACCAAATGCGGCGGTGGATGTTTATGATCTTTACTAAGAGATTGTATTTTGCTCCTGATGAACCTGTTATCAATCGTTGTATTGTATCTTATGGACTTTTGTATGACGTTTGTTGTTTGAAAACCAGGATTCTTGTTTTGGGTGTCATGCGGTGCAACTTGAGCTGTCTGATTAACGAGTCAGTTTTTTGTGTTAGAAATTAGAATCCGGCAGACCCTGGGGCCACTTGACTAACTGTGCGGTGTTGGGCAAGTCACTTCTCCTCTCTGACCCTCAGTCTTTTTTTCTCTAAGCTGAAGGTCACCAGAAAGCTCACCTCAC